CGGCCGGTCCCGGCCCCGCGCTCCCCCAGCCGGGCGGCGCGGGGCGAGGGCGGCTCACCGCAGACAACGCCCATGCCGAGCGCTCCAGAGGGGGGGCCCAGCCCTCGGCCCCTCGCCGGCCGTGCTCCTGGGGGTCCCCGGGGACGGGGCTGCGCTTCTTTCTCTGCCTCTACCCCCGGCTGGAGATCCTGCTGCCCCTGGCAAACCCAGAGAGAGCGAGTTCTCACCCTGCAGGGAGCGAGTACATGATTCACTGCCCAAAGAAAACGCATACGCTTTCATTATGTGGTAGAAATTATTACAGGTAGTTTTACTTTCCCAGCTTCTTCTTTTCGTCCTTTTTCTCCTTTAAGTTTGTGCGCTATCCCTGATCATTTAATATCCGTGATGATTTAATATCTGGGGGAAAAGTGGTAGGGGGTGGAACTGGCAACCCTGGGTGGTGTCTCTTGTCCCAAAAATGTCTGTCTTGCAACTGTTCCTTTTAAACATGGTTCCCCTGCATATAATAGAAAGGGCTTTTAATTTTCTCGACTCTTCTGAGACGGTTACTTTGCCTTGAGAGCTGAAATTACTCATTTGAAGTGAAATAAATATATGTATATAGAATATGTGAATGCAGTAACACTTCATTTAGAGAGGTAAGAAGATACTCCAAATAATTTCTGTTCGTAAATTTTTATGGACAACGTGACCAAGTTCTCACCAAATGACAAATTTTTACTGAGTTGTCCTTAAAAAACATCTCCATTGCACCATTGCAGAGCATCTGAAAAATGCACATTTTGGGGAGGTAAAGAGAAACTAAAACAAAAAAGAAGGCTCCATTCAATTAGAGTTCTGATGGGAAAATAGTTTAGAATTAATAGTAACACTAAAGGAAAGCAGTCAGGCAGTCTCTGCAAGAACTGAAGGACTTGGAGAAAGAAAATGCCCCCCAGAAAAAAGGTATTGAGGTCATGTAATTACCTTGGGCAGAGGGACACATCCATACTCCACAGTAAGTGTGCAACATTTGCTCAGGAGGGAAGGGTTCTCTACCTGATATGGATGAGTCAGTGCCACTGAAAGTGTTGGCTTTGGTTTGAGTGGAAACCCAGCATCCTGGAGGAATCATCATCCTTGGGAGCTCTTGAGGCATGACTGTCTTTCTGGGCTTTTCTGAAGTCAGCAGTAAATAATTTCATTAGAAGGTAATAGGACTCTAGCCCATGGCACAGATCTGCAATGCAAACTTCTTGTCAACTAATAAAAATTGATTGGGAGGGATTATTGCCTTGGTGCAGCATTTCCATGGGTGGATTTTTGGTTCTCCCAGTACCATTAATGTTTGTAAGCTGCCCAGAGCAAAACATAGAGTTGCTGTGCTATATTTCTTCTGAATGGGCATGAGACTTGTTACAATTTAGGAGTGAGCACTGAACTTAAAGTTGTTCTGTTTAAATCAGTGCTGTGGGTTTTGGACTTCTAGAGTTTTCAGGAATCAAGTTGGGTGAACATAATTAAAGATGCACCCTCTAATACTGCCAGCTGCTCTAAATGCATCTTCACATCTCTTGTGTCCATGGCCTGGAAGAAAATGTACTGTAGATACTGTTTTATCATTTAATTCTGTGTTCTTGTTCAGCTGAAACAATTAAAAACGATTGGCATGATTTGTTCTTGTTTATGTGAAATAATGCAGTTCTGCTAAGATCATAGCTGAGACTGCTGAATAATTTTGTGAACAAAGAGATTTGAGAAGCAATATGAGGAAAGTGAAAGCTACTCCTAA